GGTCTCGTTAACGGGATGTTCTCCGTATTTGACCAGTTATTTTGTAAACGGCAGGGAAACTTGAAGCCCGTCGGTCATTGGACAGATTCTGATAATGTCTCTGATTGGTGGCCAGACATGAAGCAAACAGTTCATTGCAGAGGAACTAAAGTCAATCAGTGAAACTTCCTTTCTGAATATCATGGACTCTGAACTCAATGCGCGTTTCTGAGCGGAGCTGACGGCGGGTTGAAGGTTACGGACCGGACGCCTCGGAGCGTCTGCTGAGGAAGAGCTTTAAAAACCTTTGGTAGAAATGAGGCCTTTAATTCCAGAGCAGAGAAACTAAAGAGATGCAACGTTGAGCTGATGCAGTAATATTCCAACAGGAGCCGGCAGTTTATCTTGAGGAAATAAATGACGGTGCAGAAGTTCATTAGATGGTACCAATTAGACGGTACCAATTAGATGGTACCATTTAGACGGTACCAATTAGACGGTACCATGCGCAGTGGCTGCAGAACTGAACTCATCCTGGGTTTGAACGACCGGAGCTGAAGACGTTTCCCTCCTAACCCGGCGGCGCCGCGGCACATGGAACATCGGTCCGTTTCAGAGAAGCAACGCTGCGAATAAAAATCCAGTAAAAGCGCAAACCGGACCGCACCGGGTAAAAAGGTTCAACTGATCGATTTGGATCAGACTGATCAAGTGATCGATGATCCAGCGCAGATTCTCTGCAGGCCAGGAGGATTTAGTGAGGCTGAGCCTTCAGACTGGAATGGGCTCATTTACATGGAGTCACTTCATTTGACGGATTCTAAGTTATGGGCCTCCGCAGGTTTTAGATGCTTCATCTGCTTTATGTGTGACAACATCTGGATTCAGGTTCAACCAGCTGAATATTCACTGAAACGGTGCATAACCTGATACTAATATGATTGTAATTTATGGGTAAAAACAGAACATGGCTGATTTTAATGCTGTCCATCAAAATGAAGGCGGGCTGTGGCCGCGGCCTCTCCTGTGTCTCTGCAGCGTCCTGCACTGCCTGGTCTCCGTGTTTTTCCAGATGTCGGTTCTCAGGGATTTGGAGAAGTTGGCTGGCTGGCTCCGGATCTCCATCATCTACCTGCTGAGCGGCGTCACAGGAAACCTGGCCTCCGCCATCTTCCTGCCCTACAGAGCAGAGGTACGGCAGCCTGGCAGAGACACAACGGCTCACGCATCTTACGCTCTGCCTTCATGTTTCTCACATTAAATCCTCCAACTGGAGGTTTCGTTGGGATTTCATCCCAAAGACAAACAGCAGAAAATGTTTCCAGTTAAACTTTCTCCACTGTTTCTGTTCAATCTATTTTGTTTTTTAAAAAAACAATATTGTAGCCGGTCCTAATATTCTGTCATATTGAGCCTGAATTCAAAGTCCACATAAAATCACTTTTGTCTACCAAAATGCCGTCAACGGGGGTGATGACATCACTCTGAACTACGGCAACCCAAGAAGACAATTGGTGGAAAATATTTACGTTTTTCTTTTGACAGCAAACATTTTATTCATTCATAGATCAAATTTATTGACCAGCCCTATCCTCCCTGTTCCCCTCCCTGTTTCCTCTTCTTGTTTCCCCTCCTTGTTTCCTCTTCCTGTTTCCCCTTCCTGTTTCCTCTTCCTGTTTCCCCTCCCTGTTTCCTCTTCTTGTTTCCCCTCCCTGTTTCCCCTTCCTGTTTCCCCTCCTTGTTTCCTCTTCCTGTTTCCCCTTCCTGTTTCCTCTTCCTGTTTCCCCTCCCTGTTTCCTCTTCCTGTTTCCCCTTCCTGTTTCCTCTTCCTGTTTCCCCTTCCTGTTTCCTCTTCCCGTTTCCCCTCCCTGTTTTCTCTTTCTGTTTCCTCTTCCTGTTTCCCCTCCCTGTTTCCTCTTCCTGTTTCCCCTTCCTGTTTCCCCTCCCTGTTTTCTCTTCCTGTTTCCTCTTCCTGTTTCCCCTTCCTGTTTCCTCTTCCTGTTTCCCCTCCTTGTTTCCTCTTCCTGTTTCCCCTTCCTGTTTCCTCTTCCTGTTTCCCCTTCCTGTTTCCTCTTCCCGTTTCCCCTCCCTGTTTTCTCTTTCTGTTTCCTCTTCCTGTTTCCCCTCCCTGTTTCCCCTCCCTGTTTCCCCTCCTTGTTTCCTCTTCTTGTTTCCCCTCCTGTTTCCCCTTCCTGTTTCCCCTCCTTGTTTCCTCTTCCTGTTTCCTCTTCCTGTTTCCCCTTCCTGTTTCCTCTTCCCGTTTCCCCTCCCTGTTTTCTCTTTCTGTTTCCTCTTCCTGTTTCCCCTCCCTGTTTCCTCTTCCTGTTTCCTCTTCCTGTTTCCCCTCCGTTTTCTCTTCCTGTTTCCTCTTCCTGTTTCCCCTTCCTGTTTCCTCTTTTTGTTTCCCCTTCTTCTTTCCTCTTCCTGTTTCCCCTTCCTGTTGTCCCTTCCTGTTTCCTCTTCCTGTTTCCCCTTCCTGTTTCCTCTTCCTGTTTCCCCTCCCTGTTTCCTCTTCCTGTTTCTTCTTCCTGTTGTCCCTTCCTGTTTCCTCTTCCTGTTTCCTCTTCCTGTTTCCCCTTCCTGTTTCCTCTTCCTGTTTCCCCTCCCTGTTTCCTCTTCCTGTTTCCTCTTCCTGTTTCCCCTCCCTGTTTCCTCTTCCTGTTTCCTCTTCCTGTTTCCCCTTCCTGTTTCCTCTTCCCGTTTCCCCTCCCTGTTTCCTCTTCCCGTTTCCCCTCCCTGTTTTCTCTTTCTGTTTCCTCTTCCTGTTTCCCCTCCCTGTTTCCTCTTCCTGTTTCCCCTTCCTGTTTCCCCTCCCTGTTTTCTCTTCCTGTTTCCTCTTCCTGTTTCCCCTCCCTGTTTCCTCTTCTTGTTTCCCCTCCTTGTTTCCTCTTCCTGTTTCCCCTTCCTGTTTCCTCTTCTTGTTTCCCCTTCCTGTTTCAACCTCCTTGTTTCCCCTTCCTGTTTCCCCTCCCTGTTTCCTCTTCCTGTTTCCCCTCCCTGTTTCCTCTTCTTGTTTCCCCTTCTTGTTTCCTCTTCCTGTTTCCCCTTCCTGTTTCCTCTTCTTGTTTCCCCTTCTTGTTTCCTCTTCCTGTTTCCCCTTCCTGTTTCCTCTTCCTGTTTCCCCTCCCTGTTTCTTCTTCCTGTTTCCTCTTCCTGTTTCCCCTCCTGTTTCCTCTTCTTGTTTCCCCTTCTTGTTTCCTCTTCCTGTTTCCCCTTCCTGTTTCCTCTTCTTGTTTCCCTTCTTGTTTCCTCTTCCTGTTTCCCCTTCCTGTTTCCTCTTCCTGTTTCCCCTCCCTGTTTCCTCTTCCTGTTTCCCCTCCCTGTTTCCTCTTCCTGTTTCCTCTTCCTGTCCCCCTCTCCAGGTGGGTCCCGCCGGCAGCCAGTTCGGCATCCTGGCCTGCCTCTTCGTGGAGCTTTTCCAGAGCTGGCAGATCCTGGAGCGGCCGTGGCGAGCGTTCACCAAGCTCGCCGCCATCTCTGTCTTCTTCTTCTCCTTCGGTCTGCTGCCGTGGATCGACAACTTCGCCCATGTCTGCGGCTTCCTGTCGGGCTTCTTCCTGTCCTTCGCCTTCCTGCCGTACATCAGGTGGGTCAGCTGAGCGAAACCAAAAAGATCCAGGATCCGTTCCGTCTGTAAACATCCACTTCCTGTTTCAGCTTCGGCCGCTCCAACTCGTACAGGAAGCGGCTCCAGATCTGCGGCTTCCTGCTGGTTTTCCTGGGTCTGTTTGCCGCGCTGGCCGTCCTCTTCTATGTTTACCCGCTCAAATGCGACTGGTGCGAGCTCCTCACCTGCGTCCCGGTCACAGACAAGTTCTGTGAGAAGTACGACCTGAACGCACACCTGCTCTGAGCGTCGGAACCGGTTCAGATAATCGGTTCAGATAACCGCTTCCTGGTGGCGCCGCAGGAACCTTCAGGAAACATCACTTCTGGATCAGGACGGACCAGAGGTCTGTGGCTCACAGCTGCTGCAGGGACAAAGGAAAACTGCCAAAAAAAACCTTTGAAAATTTGAGATTAATCTCAGAAATTTTGGTGGGGAATTTAGAAATTTCTGGGAACTTTCCCTGTTTTTTCTGGAACATTTCTGTTTTTAATCTTCGAGTTTCAGGTTTTTTTCTAGCAAATTTGCAACATTGCAAAATCAGAAATTTCCAACTTTCAAATCTCAAAATTTGCGTATTTTATAGACACTTTTTGACTTTCCAAACTCAGAAATATTCATGTTTTTATTTCTATTTTGACAAATTTCTGAGAAAATTGTCAACATTCTCTGTCAAGTTTTGGACTTTTAAAACTTAAATTTCCACGGTTTTCTAGAAAACAAGGAATTTCACACCTGAACACAAGGAGCAAAGTTAAACTGTCGGAGAAATGGTTGTTTTTACTGTAAGCTGACGTCACACCGCCCCCCAGCGGCCAGGCGGAACATGACATGCCGTCGGAGATAAACGTGCCTTAACTTCCTCCTCCAGACTCTCACTTCCTGCCTGGAAATCATTTTAGTGGCTGAGTTATGATTCAGTTACAGCCTTTAATACACTTTGGTCATGAATGAAACGTTTTTATATCCTGTGGTAAATATTCATCCTGTGAATGAAGCATTTAAAGCTGAATTACAGTAAAATCTCTTTCAGTGTTTTTTCTTGTTTTATTAAATTTTGTAGCGTTTTAGCTACTTTACAGCTGAACTGGACTTTTCCTGTTTGTTTCTCACTAACAGCTGACCTCTGGAGACTAGAGGTGAGAAACTGAATATTTTGGTTCAATCCAACAAACTAAATACTGGATCAGTATCACCAATACTGATATACCGATACATTTGGTTAAGTCTGATACAGCATCAAACTTCTGACCATCAGGGGTTTTTCTGTTTTTTTTTTGTTTGTTTGTTTTGTTTGAATTGTTTTTCTAGAGGAAATAATTGAATACATTAATATGATAACCTGAAACAAAACTAAGGTTTGTGCACATTATGCCAAAAATATTTGAGATCAAATCAAAACTGATTTGATCCAAAATACTGGAACTATTAATCAATGCTGGCGAGGTAACATCAATGCTTCAGTTTTAGATTATTTTATTTATTGCAGTTTCTCAAATATATCTGATATTGTCCAGATTCTGTCTGAAGTTTGAACAAAAATAATTAAAATAATAAAATCATCTAAAGGTCAGAAGCCTGATGATTTTTAAGCTTTATTATATTTATGAACAAAGTATTGATATCATCACTGGCCCTTTGTATCGGATCAATACTAAATATCAATGCTTCACAATTGATATTCATGTCTCCAGTTCAACTTCATCAGACAAATTAAACCTTTTTCTGTCTGCAGAGTTAAATTAAGACGTTTGATCAAAACTATAATGACATTGTTCCATTTTTCATTTCCTAAAACTTTCCAGATTATATGATTCCTACATGAAAAACAAAATAAATATTCGTTCCTTCGATAACCGCCAGATGGCGCTAGGGGAGTATTTCTGGGTAAAAACCTGCAACCTGTCGCTGTTCTGTTGATTAAATCAGGTTTTCTAAAGTCATCAACCAGAAAACATGTTGGTTTCTTCTTGGATCCGCACACACACACACACACACACACACACACACACACACACACACACACACACACACACACACACACACACACACACACTGAAAGCAATGCTCTGGATCAAAAAACATGAAGTAAAACAGCATCAAAGAGGTGAAAAAATATTATTAAATGTTTGAGATTCTGGTCAAATTTATTTTCTCAGTTGATAAAAATGGAAATCAGATGAAGAATATTTGACCAGATGAATTGGGTGAATATCTTGTTACTTTCAATAGGCCATGTAAGTTACACAAACTTGATTAAGGTAGCTGTAGCTACATTTTAGCATCGTTAGAGAAAAGCGAAGCCAGCAGATGTTCAGCTCTGAATTATTTCATTTTTAATGTATTCTAATATTGTATAAAAAGGGTTCAAGTGACTGAATAAAAAAATCTGCAGAATGTGTCGATATTTTTATTTGATTAATGGATTAATAATCCGGACACAGAAACCTTCCTGTTTCCTGCCTTCATCTTCATGAGGATCATCTCTCCTCCTCTTCCTCTTGTTCCCCCTCATCCTCATCTCATCTCATCCTTCTGTTGTTTAGTTTTAGTTTGGGGGTTGAACCCGGGTTGGGGGGTTCCTCAGGGAGCGGATGCTGGACGTGGAGGAGTCGTCTTCACCTGAAACGGGACCCTGCCAGCTGGCCAACAGGTGACACACACACACACTCATCAGCAGCCTCGTTGTCAGGTGAAGTGTGTGTGGGGGGGATTTATACACGTGTGTGTGACAGAAGGATCTGCGGCGTACACCTGCCTGATGAGCTGCTGTGGCAGAGTAACATTATACCCCCTCCCCCCATTCTCCCAGTGGGGTCCCATACACCAGCTGGGCTGACATTGACAGACACCCCTGTCCAACACACACACACACACACACACACACACACACACACAGAGAGAGAGATTAAGGTTTATTCGGCTCCTCAGTGGGAATTTTGTGTCATTTTCCTGCTTATAGAATAATGAAACATCACATCACACTTATTTTAACTAAATTAAAAAGACAAATAAATAAAATTGTACATTTTAGTGACACATAATGGTTGTTATTCTTTGAAGATCCAAAGTTTTAAAGGGTCAATGTCATTTAAAATCAATTTTTTAATCTTTTCATCATATTTTTCCTGCAGTGTTGCTTTGATTCTTTCATGTTTGAGAAATCCCTTTGTCTCCCTGGCAGCCATTCAGCTGTTAAAACGCCTGGCTGGACCTAACCCCGCCTTCGACATGCAGCCCCTCCCCCACTCAGCTCCTGCAGACTAGCCAGCAGAGGATAGCAAATAGCTGGTGAGCTTGTTTTAGGAGCTGCTGCTCAGTGTAACGTTATAACTTTCTCCCCAAGGGTCAAAGGAGGAGCCATGTTGGGATGACTTCCTGCAGGCTGAGTTTCAGAAGGAGCAGAGTTTTTAAAGAGACAGAGGCCCAATTTTACCATGACGATTCTGCTTTCTTCATCAGTTAAATTCCCAAACATCCCAGAATAATCAAGCCAACTCTTTACTGCAACAGGTGAGTTCCTTTCAGCATAATCAGTAAATTTAACCCAAACCTTGGTGTTGATGTTCAGGTTTCAGTTTTTGTGCGGTCATCATTTCTTTGCAGGCGTTTGGCAGGAATAAACGTAAATCCTGAGAGAATCGGACCGGATCTGCACAAAGTAAAACACAGAAACTGGAACTGGAAATCCTCCCCGCAAACACTCATTTCATCTTCATCTCTGGAGGCAAAGCCTCTTCATCACCTCCAGCTGTCCTAAACACTGGTTCTCATCACCTCACACACACACACACACACACACACACACACACACACACACACACACACACACACACTCACACACACACACACACACACACACACACACACACACACACACACACACACACACACACACACACACACACACACACACACACACACACACACACACACACACACACACACACACACACACACACACACACACACACACACACCCACACACACACACACACATACCACACACACACACCACCACACACACACACACTCACACCCCCCCCCCCCACACACACCACACACCCCCACACACCACACCACCCCCACACCCCACACACACACACTCACACACACACTCACACACACACACACACACACACACCACACACCCACACACACACACCACACACACCACACACACACACACACACACACACTCACACACACACACACACCACACACACACACACACACACACACTCACACACACACACTCACACACACACTCACACACACACACACCACTCACACCCCCCACACACTCACACCCCCACTCACACACACACCCCCCCACATACTCACACACACACTCACACACACACACACACACTCACACACACACTCACACACACACACTCACACACACACTCACACACACACTCACACACACACACACACACACACACACACACACACACACACACTCACACACACACACCCCCCACACACACACACTCACACCCCCACACACTCACACCCCCACTCACACACACACACACACACACACACACTCACACACACACACACTCACACACACACTCACACACACACACTCACACACACACACTCACACACACACACTCACACACACACTCACACACACACACACTCACACACACACACACTCACACACACACACACACTCACACACACGCACACACACACACACTCACACACACACCCCCCCCCACACACACACACACACACACACACACACACTCACACACACACACTCACACACACACACACTCATACACACACTCACACACACACACTCACACACCACACACACACACACACACACACACACACACACACACACACACTCACACACACACACCCCCCACACACACACACTCACACCCCACACACTCACACACACACTCACACACACACACACACACTCACACACACACTCACACACACACACCCCCACTCACACACACACCCCCCCCACACACTCACACACACACTCACACACACACACACACTCACACACACTCACACACACACACACTCACACACACACACTCACACACACACTCACACACACACACACACACACACACACACACACACACTCACACACACACACCCCACACACACACACTCACACCCCACACACTCACACCCCCACTCACACACACACCCCCCCCACACACTCACACACACACACTCACACACACACCCCCCCCACACACTCACACACACACACTCACACACACACCCCCCCACACACTCACACCCCCACTCACACACTCACACTCACACACACACCCCCCCACACACTCACACACACACACTCACACACACACCCCCCCACACACTCACACCCCCACTCACACACTCACACACACACACACACACACACACACACGGCTCATTAGCAATCACTTCAACAATAGCTGTTCCCTGGATGCCATCTTGAAGCCTCTGAAGGTGATTCTGCCTTTTCTCCTCCCTCCTGTTCGCTTTAAGTCTCTACAGACGAGTTTTCATGGAACGCTCACCGGGAACCAAAGACAGGAAGAGTAAAGAACATTTAGTCAGACAACCAGGAACAAAGAGTTCTCACAGCAACTTTCAGCTCAAAATGTTGAGACGGCGAACCGCAAGGAGGCGGCTTGGTTACCTGCTTTTAGGTTATTGATTCTTGAGTCAGGTGATCCCACACCGTCAGCTCTCTGTAGAAAATACTTTATTTGCTAAAGTCTAAAGTTATCTGACTGTTTGAACCTGGAAAATATTTACTGATGACAGAAGGAGGACAAAATCTACTAGACTCATAAAAGCAGAGATTCCTGTTCTGTTTTCCCAGACAGAGTTTAATGCACATTGCTCTGCAGTTAGCTACATTATTTACATAAAAGTTCAAGCTTTGATAGTGCTGTCTTCAATACTGAGCCGATGCAGACACAGCAGTCAGGTCCAGCGCAGGCAAAACTAAATTATTTTCAAAAATTGAGTCTTTAGTCTGAACAATGTCTGTTTGTAGGATTTTATTGTTTCCAGTGCTGCTAATCTTCTCTTATCATAGCGCTAACGTTGTGCTTAGCACTTTTGCATTTTTGGTAACTTTCAAAATGTTTAGCACGTTTAGCTTCCCCTAAATTCATATTTTGGGTAAATTCTAAAACTCTAATTTAAATGTCAATCTTTTATTATAGATAACCTAACCCTGTCAACATGATTGAATAAAGTGTTTTAGAATATTAGCTTAGCTAAGTACTGCATTGATGTAGCGCGTTATTTTTTTTATTTCCTTTATTTAACGAGGTAAACATTGTGAGATCTAGATCTCATTTTCTGAGCAAAAGCCTCCAATACACAGAAACCCGATCAATAAACAGATTATGATTAGCTCTTTAAGCTTAGCACAGCTAACATTTTCGTTCATGTTCCCCACCATGGCTGCTTTCAATCATTTCACATAAATATGCTTTATTAATAAGACTTTTTTATTTTTTTAATCTGAACATTTTAAATACATTGTTAACTGACAAACAAAAAATACCTGCAGTCTTTTGGTTTCTGGCTTTGGACCAGAATCCAAACAGTTGTTGATTAAGAAATATCTCTGGTCTTCAGAATGTAGAACCACTTGCTCTAAGGTACAGAAATATTCACAGATATGAAACGATTTAGCCTTAAATTCATGCAGAATTCTCACCAATAAATCTCCTGTTGCACATTTACACAGGGTGTCAATTTGCACATTTACCATCCAAGGATATTCCTAAAACGTCACTTTAGATTGGTCTTTCATGTTCAAAAATGTTTCTGAATGGTCACAAACTCTTCTTGGTGTAAAACTAGAAGACAATCAGTTCTTCACATTTCCAGTGTTCAGGCTAGTTATGGGCTGTGGAATGCAGCTCTCCCACATTGCATGTGTTTTATTGTTCTTAATGAAACGGTCTGGTCCTCCCTCCTGGTTTCAGTCGGTTAGTGATGGGTCAACAGGGATGCATAGCAGAGAGGAGGGGGAGGGGCTTGTTGTGTTTGGAGTAAGACAAGGAGGACTAATGATTGAACAAGGCAAGTCTGGGCTCGACTGCTGGAAGTTTCCTTCCAGTTGGGATGTCGTAATTTATCATTCTTATTAAAACTTGCAGAAATATCATTTTATGAGCTATTAGTTTGTTCTGGTCCAGTTTACCCGGTTCTACTGGAACCAGAACTTCTGCTCCAGCTCCAGCTGCTGTGGTTCTGACCCAAACCAGCCTGTACCCCTCCTGGCCTGTGGGGGCGCTGCACCAACAACCACTGCAGGAAACGACACTAAAACCTCTGAAGACACTGAGAGCAACTTCCTGTTTCACCAGATGAACCAAGATGGAGGCGTCAGAGTTTAG